TTCAAATCTGCTCCTCAGCTCTTCTATGACACTGTCCATTTGTGAAATCTTGTTGTTTATCTTTTGGATTTCTGTTATTTTTGTATAATTTCTAGTTGTGAATTTCTTTTGGCATTTTGTTCCTACATTATTTTCCTCAATTCCTCCAATTTTTTGTCTGTATTTTCCATGAATTTGTCTATTCTTTCCTCATTTTTGTCTGCTTTTTGCTTCACCTCTTGGATAATTCTGAGCATTAGAGATTTAAATTCCCTATCAGGTAGTTCTCGTGCCTTTCCTTCTACTGGAAAGTCATCTGGTGTTTTATTTTAGGCACCTGCTGGAACCATCCTGTCCTCTTTTTGTAAATGTTTTGATATTGTCTGCTGTCTTCGGGGCACCAGTAGTTATATTTCTTGTTTATTAATTGTAGATTTGTTTGTTTCATCCTTTTTTTAAATTTGGCTATGTCTGAGCAGGCAGGCTGGGTGTTCTTGTTTGCTCATCTGTGTGCATGATACTTTTCGCCTCCTTCTCCAATTGGCAGGGTCAGTCACTCAGATATGGTACAGCAGGTAGGTCTAGTTGAAGAGGCGTTACCGGGATGGGTTGTTTGTGGCACTTACTACAGCCACCAGGGTGGGTCGATAATCAGTGCAGGGCAGGTTCCAGTAGGCTGTGCCTGTGCTGCTTGGTCGCGTGATGTTAAGCTCATGTTGCAGGTAGGCAGGATGGAGCGGGGAGACTTATGTGTGGAGCTAAGATGGATATGGGAGACAGGAGAGAGGAACAGGAGCCAAAAACATACAAACAAAAAAGAGTGCTAGGGGAGCTTGCCGTTGGAGTGGAGAGATCAGAGACTATGAAATGGAGAAAAACAAAAAGGGTAAGAAAAAAAAAGAAACGAAAAGAATGAATAAATAAAAATCAGAAAGCAAAAAGAACAGCAAAGCTCCCAGGGATCCCACCAGTGCGGCTCTGAGGTCTGGGTAAGTTGTTCTCAGGTGCTGCAGTACAGCCTGGCTAGAAAGCGTAGAGGTATTCAGCGCCAGGTATTCAGGGAACAGAAAGAGAAGGAAGGCACAGAGAGACAAGAAACTGAGTAATGAAGAAACATAAAAAGGGAAAAGAAAACAAAACAAAGTTTAAAAAAAAAAGGACAAGAAAAGCCCCCCAAAAAAAACAGAAAAAAAGAAGAAAACCCCCAAAAAAACAAATGCCCTCAGGGATCCCTCTGCACGTCTGCGCAAGCCGAGGGGGTAGGTTCCAAGCCGCGCAGCAATGCCCGACCAGCACAGGCTCCCAACTCAAGAAAAGGAAAACAAACAAATAATTGAAAACAAACAAACAAACAAAAGCCCCGGGATCCCACCAGCGTGACGGCCCAGACCGGGAAGCAGTTCATACTCGAACAGAGCTTCGCAGCCCCTCAGGAAGAAGATGGTGCACAGAGCCAGGTATTTGAGCAAAAGGAGGGGGAGGTGGTGAGAGGTAAGGAAGAAATGAAAAGAAGCGGAAAAAAGCAACACTAGCAGCCAACGAATGGCACTCAGAGAGCCGGCCAGTGTTGGCGGGTGGAATCCAAGCAGCCAGTGCTTCCCGGATAAGAGACTGTGGCCGTGGGAAGCAGAGGAGGTCGAGTGGGGGCGAAGAAGGTTGGGGGGTGGGAAAGCGTATATCACAAATTACTGGTTGTTTTGTCTTCTGCTGGAAGCTCCGTGAAGCTGCTTTCTCGTACCCCCTATTTGCTGGTCTCTGATAGGAGTCCAAGATGGCGGATCTGTGCTGCATTAGCTGATAGGGGACTTCTGCATGAATCCCTCCTTGCTCTCCGTTCTCTGTCAGTTTTCTCACTCCATTTGGTGCTTGGCTGAGTTCTTTATCTCTTCATTTGATGTTTTAGGGTTTCAGGACTGCTGTTTTCTCTGTTTGGCTTAGTTTTTTGGATCTCTGCCGTGGAGGGACGGCATGGAGCTTCTGCCTAGAGTGCCATTTTGCCAGAAGTTGTCCCACTGTGTTGTTTTTATCCTGGCCTTTTATATTACTACAACCTAAATTATCATTAAATTTAAGACACGGTATTTAATGGCTTCCATATGGGATTAAAATTTGAAATTGGAACAATTTATAACAATAACAAATTATAAAGAATCAAACCTATTCAGTGATTCTGAGGGATCTCTCTATAGCATCAGTGGGAATGGAGCTTTTTTTTTTTGAAACAGCCTTCATTCTAACAGGCAGCCATACAGACATCTAAGCCTATCCCGTCTCATTCTGCTCACAGAGAAAGGAAATGCCCTGTTCTCAACTCAGTAGTACCAGTTTCTCTGAACAGACTTGAAAGTAAACCATTTACCCTGAATGAATAAAATGAATATAAACGGGTGAATTTTATATTTCCAAACAAAAACAGATCAAGAAAGAATTCCCTTTTCACACTGAATGCTAAAAGTTTTAGACAGTTAAATCACATACTTTTAGAATACATATAATCTAAAAATAAAATAACAGTACTACTTTGAAAGTCAAAAATAGTCAAACTCCAAATTCTGGCTCATAGTTTCATTAAAAAAAAAAAAATACTGCCCAGTGTGAAAAGCCTCCATTTTATATATTATACTATAATACTTACAAGCTGATGTTCTAATAGTTGGATTTTTTCATCTTTTTTCTTTATTTCTTCTTTAAGTTGCTGTATTTCATTTAATAAATCTTCATTCTGAAATATTTTTAAAAAATTAAGATGAGATACTTAACTGCATTTAAAATACTCTGATGAGAAACATTACATCAATGAGGAAGGTGCAGCAATGAATGAACTGTTCATTTAGGGGGATGAGTCCTTCTAAAGTAAACTGTATATGCCAGGTATTGAACTTTAAAAATAAAAAAGAATCACTTTGGTCTTCTAGGAAGTCACTGTCTAATGGAGACATGGAAAGAATGAACAGCTGTAGCAACTACAGCTAACATTTACTGAGTACTTATTATGTGCCAGGAACATTTGAGAATTTAAGCATTTGATCCTGACAATCCTGAGGTTAGTACTATAATTTCACTTTACAGATAAGGAAACTGGCACATAGGCCATAGCCAAACCAAACCAAACCCATTGCCATCGAGTCGATTCTGACTCATAGCGACCCTATAGGAGCAGCTGGTGGATTTGAACTGCTGGCCTTTTGTTAGCAGCCAGGCTCTTAACCACTGTGACACCAGGGGGTTCCACATAGGCCATACAGTGTAATAAATTACATGAAAACCAAGAACTTCCACTAGATTTCCAGAGACACATAAGAGATGCCTGTCAGAGAAAACAAAGAGGGGCACAAACAACCAAAGAGAAGAGCATAATTCAAGGCACAGAGTCATTCACGGGTTGTTCACGGAAATTAGTCAAAAGATAAATGTGCCTGAGGAGTAATGAGGGTGTGTGCAGTAGGAGAGTCTTTTTCCATTAGCTACTTCCCTGAGGAGAGCTGCCTGGATCAACAACCTGTAAGAAATGATGCCTAATGCTATTAAATGAAAATCTATTGTCGGAAAAAAAAAAAAAAAAAACACCCAAACCCGTTGCCGTCAAGTCGATTCCAACTCATAGCGACCCTATAGGAAAGAGCAGACTACTCCACAGGGTTTCCAAGGAGCGCCTGGTGAATTCGAACCGCCAACCTTTTGGTTAGCAGCCATAGCACTTAACCACTACGCCACCAGGGTTTCCACCTATTGTCAAGTTAAGGAGAAATCAGTTTACATTTCTAAAATGTAAAGTTTCATTACTATATAGTTAGCCTCTTTTGTGTATCACTACTCAATTATTAAGGAGTTCCTTGTACTCCTACTGTGGAACTAGTACAAGTGAGGAAATTAGAATATGTAAGTGAATGACATATCATATCTTCCAGAGGAAAAAATATACAAGCAAATAATTATAATGTGTTGTTTCTGAAGAAAGTATGTCCTATACTTCAGATGTGTGAAGAATGAAAAACAAAGTACAGTCTCCTTAAGAGAATATCAGAAAAGACATGTTATAAAGGCTTTAACATGCCAAATAAGCATTATACAGCAATGGGGAGAAAAAGATTTTCATAATCTGTCATTATGTATACTACAATTGGAAAGGACTGTTTATCATATACAAAAAATGATCTTCACCTAAATTTAAAAACAGTTTAGAAAATTTTAGAAACCATAAACCAAGAGAAAAATAGGACGGTTTACAGATCATTTCTAAACTGTGGCAAATGAAGTTATTATGAAATGATAAATATAATTATGTAAAATTTTAAAGCTTCTACACAATTAACATTAAAAAGCAGAATATAAAATCCTATCTATATATAACACTATTTGATGGAACAAATGGACCAAAGGAACACGGAAAAAATAAAAACATCAGTTGTGTAAAACAGTCGGGATTAAAAATTTTTTTCTTTAAAAAGAATTTATTTAAAGGTAAAAAACTATTTTCACAAAAAATAAAATTCAGGAAAAAAGGTCAACTTGCTTTTAGAACGTCAATCACAAAACTTAAAAAAAAAAACAAAAAAAACCCCAAGATCATCTGAGATCATCTAAGTCAATGATTCTTGACTGGGTGTGTTAAGTAAAACTTTTTAAAACTAGAGATACCCCCTGCAGACCTCCTAATTTAGAATACCATAATACTGACAAGAGGATGGAGGCCCAGAGACAAAATGATCTGAGCAGGCACAGGTAATAAGTAAAAGAGCTAAGACTAGAATAACTAGCTGTGACTACTAGCCCACATTATTTTGATTTTGAATGTTCTATATACAACCTTATTCCCAATAATTGCCCCTGCCTATGAGAAAACTATGCCTCCCAGTGCCTCTAATACCACGTTTGGCTACTTGACTTGCTTTGGCCAAGAATACATGAAAGGAAATAACTAGGCAACATCCAAGCAAAAGGCATGTGTGGTTCTTGCTCATGTTCTTTTTCCCCTGTGACGAGAACACGTTCCAGGGTAGAGTATGATTGTTCAACCTGGAGCAGAATGAAGAAGACATATGAAGCACACTCCCAACTAATCTGCATCCATATGTAACATAAATGAGAAAAAGTCGTTTTTCTGCTTCCGAGCAGCCATCTAAGATGCATCAATTGGTCCCAACCCACCTGGAGCAAAGGAGAATGAAGAACACCAAAGACACAAGGAAAATATTAGCCAAAGAGACAAAAGGGCCATATAAACCAGAGACTCCATCAGCCTGAGACCAGAACTAGATGGTGCCCTCTACCATCAGTGACTGCCCTGATAGGGAACACAGCAGAGAGTCCCTGATAGAGCAGGAGAAAAATGTGGAGCACAATTCAAATTCACATACCAAGACCAGATTTAATGGTCTAAGACTGGAGGAACCCCTGAAGCCATGGTCCCCAGATGCTCTGTTAACTCACAACTAAAAACATTCCCAAAGCCCACTCTTCAGACAAAGATTAGACTGAGCTATAAAACATAAAATAATACTCATTAAGAGTGTGCTTCTTAGTTCAAGAAGATACATGAGACCAGATGGGCGGCTTCTTTCTGGAGGCAGGATGAGAAGGCAGAAGGGACAGGAACTGGTTGAATGGACACAAGAAATCTGGGGTGGAAAGGGGGAGTGTGCTGTCACATTATAGGGACTGCAACTAATGTCACGTAACAATACGTGTATAAATTTCTGTATGAGAAATTAAAGCACAACTAAAAAAACAAAAACCTTTTTTCTTGTAAGCCATCAATGTTGTGAGGTTATTTGTTCCTGCAAGATGTAAAAACCAACAATAATTTTACTAAAAGATATTAAATAAATGAAGAATACTACTATGTGCTTAAGAAATATAGAAAAAAGAAAAGAGCTTTCTGCTACTAAAAATAAACCTAAAGATAATACGCACTATAAAAAATATTCTTTCACTTGGGACAACTAGCTTAACTGGTAAAACATAGTCTATAAAGAAAATGTTCTACATCCTACTTTGGTAAGTAGCATCTGGGGTATTAAAAGCTTGTGAGTGGCCATCTAAGATACTTCACTAGTCTCACCCCATCTGCAGCAAGGGAGAATGAAGAAAAGCAAAGACATAAGGAAAAGATTAGAGGAGGTTGGGCCAAGATGGCAGAGTAGTCAGATGCTTTGGGTGGACCCTCTTACAACAAAGACCCGAAAAAACAAGTGATTCAATTATATATGGCAATCTGGGAGCCCTGACAGCAAAGGCAGAGTTGAGGAACCAGACTGAGTGGCAAGGGGAGGGAGAGACAGTTCGGGAGCAGCGAGGAGTTGCCAGACCTGACCCGGCGAGAGCCTGAGCCCTTCAGGCCTGATCAGCTTAGCGGTAAGCAGTGAGGCAGGCAAGCATCGGTGCTCAGAAGGCATATTCCGAACCGGGAGAGACCCAGTTGCTGAAAGTCTACTCGGCCACACAGAATAAGTGAGAGGCGGCCCTCGACAAAAGATAAGTACTTCCGTACGGCTTACCTCATGGATCAAAAACACCCCCCTGAGGGAAAAACTTCTCTCCCATTTACCTCCCCGCTCCATTCTCTGCTTCAGCAATTGCTGAGTCCCCTGGGCTGGAAGTAGGTTCCGTCACACGCCTGGAGCCACTTTCCCTGCCTTGGAGAGTGAACAAATTAACAAACAGGAAAAAATAAACTGCCGGCTCCCCTAAACCAGGAACTCCGGGAAGGCACATCTCCTTTTACCAGACACAGGCATACGGGATCCACGGACTGTGAGTGCCTCTCTCCCTGCATAGACTTGTGTGGGCACATCTCAACAGCATAGGCCCTCATTACCGCAGCACAACAGGGTATATACCGAAACTCTAACTTCAACTGTTAGAGCTGAGAAGTGGCAGGTTCCTGACATCTGACACAGCTATGCCCATTAAGCAGGGTCTTCACCTATCCACATCAGGGGCCTGAGGACTGGTGGCTCCACCCACGCCACTGAGCCACCTGCGACAGGGGCCCGTGAATAAGAGGTGCCCCAAGTTCTTACAACTAACAGCATTAGCTGCTCACAGTCCGGCTGCAAAACCTACCCACCTAAGCGCACTAGGGAACAGGGACATGCCTTCCTCCTGGACACTTGGGAACAGCCATCAGCCCCCTGCCTTGCTCAGAGTGCGTCCCTCTGCTGCAGCCAGATGCCTGTGCCTACACCAATTACACATGCCTGCCTAGGACTGTAAGTGAGAGCCTACACCACACACTTGGTGGCTATCTATCTGGGCACGTGAGCTGAATCCATACAGGAGGAGTGGGCAGACTCCTGAGCTCACATACCTAGTAACAGAGCTAACCACCTGCTGACAGGACATTAGAACTTCCAAGTTGCCAATAATCAAACTAGCTCATACGAGCAGCCTATTTGGGCATATCAAAACAAAACAAGAAGCTAGGACACAGTAAGCAAACGTAAAATAAATAGAATAACTTATTGACAGCACAGAGACAACAGTCAATATCAAATCCCATAAAGAGGCAATCCATGATGGCTTCAGCAAGCTCCCAAAATAAAGAATCTAGAAATTTTCCAGAGGAGGAAAATTTCTTGGAATTACCGGAGGTAGAATACCAAAGATTAATATACAGAACTCTTCAAGAAATTAGGAAGGAAATTAAGCAAAACGCAGAACACGCAATAGAGGAAATTAAACAGATTAGAGAAGAGCATAATGACAAATTTAAAGGGCTGC